CCACGCGCTGGCGGTCGTGCAGCCGGTCCTGGGTCCACACCATGCGCGGGCTCTGGCAGCGCAGCACCGCCCGGGCTCCCGCCGCCCAGCTCACGGCGGACTCGGACACCACCGAGCTGCCCGTGGACGCGGACCCTGCGGGGAAGCGGGGTCACTGGAAGACGGGCGGGCCCTAAGGGGACAGGTACAGGGCGGGGCCGGCCGGGCAGGAGGGCGGCTGGCGCGGTGGGCGCCCAGGGGAGAGGGGCCACTAACCTGAGGACAGGACAGCAGAGCCTGGAAGGAGAAGAGGGGGGAGTCACGCGGGGGAGGGGGACCTGGGCCTTTACAGCCCAGTCACCAACACGGGGAGGGGCGCTTGGCCCCTGGCCCCTTCTGTAGCCCCCACTGAGGTGGGTGCTAATAGGGCCAAAGAAGCCACAGCCCCACCTAATCCTCACAGCCACCTGCCCTGGGCCTCAGGGACAGCACCTGCCCTTTGGGAGGTGAGTGCAGGGTTAGGGTTAGACCCCCCACTGGCTGGCTCAGGAGTGTGCGCTTGTCACCAAAGGCCACCCTAAGGAGTGGAGGCTGCCGGCCCCAGCACTGCAGCAAGGCCACTGGAGCCCGAGGCAGGAGGGAGGGAGGCTGGTTAGCACCGCACCTGCCGAGGGCCAGGCCAAGGAGCCCTTACGGTCCTCGGTCCACCGGGAGCCACCTCCCACCCCCAGCACTCAGGGCTGGAGCCCCCCTGGTGTTTCTGAAGCGGAGAGGTCTGAGCACAAGAACGCTGGACGTGAGGAGTGACCCCGCCATCCGCCACCTCACAGCCAAGTTCCTGCTGCAGAGATGTGGCTGAGTGCCCAGGGCAAGGAATGTGCCGGGTCAGCAGGCCAGCCTCGGGCGGCGGGCTGGGGACAGGGAGGGAGGCTGGAGCAGACCCTGCAAGCCTCACTGTTCCCAGGCCCCCCAATCCCCAGCTGGCTCCCCTTCTGACCACTGGGAGCCTAGCCTGGGGTGCCTCCCCCTGCGCCAGGGACCCGGTCCACTGCCTCAGCCTCCCTGCCCATTTGGCTTCTGACTCCAGCTTCTGCGTGAAGGGAAGTTCTGGAGGATGTTTGACGACTCACACCCTCCGAGGGCCTGGGGGCCCTCATCATCACAAGCTGCTCCCTCTGAGGTCCCCAGACCTGTCCCCCAGACCTGTCCCCTTCCCAGTGGGGGCAGCGTGCCCCTCTGGGCTTGAGCTCAGACGGGCGGATTTGCCTATAAACCCCGAGCTCACTCAGACCCACTGGCGGCTGCCGCCTCCTGACTCCCACACCCCAAACTCACTCTGCAGAAGCAGAAGTTTCCAGAGCAAGACTCGTTGGGACCGCAGCTCCATGGCGCCCGCCGCCAGCCTGGCCCTGCTGGCCTGGCTTTGTCTCACTCCCTCAGGCTCTAACTCTCCAGAAAAACAGCCCGGCCCCCTCCCCCTCCTTAGCACCCGCCATGACATCACGGAGCTTTGGGCCGGTCGACAGTCTGCAGACCGCCCCCTCGGCTTCTGCCCAGCCCCTTGGCCTCCCCCCATCCTAAGCTGGCCTGGTGGGGAGGGGGGCACGGTGGCCACTATGTTCCAGAGAGTGAGGGGAGTCCAGGCAGAGACCTGGTCCCTTCTCTGGCTCTGGTCCTGGAGAGGGGGCAATAGCCCAGCCCTCAGAGGGCAGGAGGGCCTGAGGGCGGGGTCCCAGATGCCATGTGGGCGTCTGTGACATATGGGGCCCTTCTGGGGTTGCTGCAGGGCTGGAGTTCTGCAGTGAGCATCCCCTCACCCCGCCTCTGTAGGGGGACACTGTCCCAGGGCATTCCCCCTTGTGGGCAGCCTGGCCACTGTGCCGGGCGGGGTCCCCTCTCTGCCTGCTGTGGAGCTGGAGGCCTGCGGAAAGGCATCCCGGGGGCGGGGACCCCCAAGGAGCCCAGGCCGCCAGACCACGGGCTCTTCCCTTTAGCCTGCGGTGACCCTGCCCTTCTCCTCTGAGGCTGCATTTCTTCAACTATGAAATGGGGATCAGAATAGCACC